AGCTACAAAAGAGAATCTACTCCATAAAGGTAAACTGAATTTGTTTAGGGATCAGTTTTATTAAAAGGAGAAACTCCTCTACATAAAAAGTATAATACTTTTTCCATCTGTAATTTTTGCTGAGAATTGGAAAGTAATTTAATCTGTTGCTGAAATAATTTCATTTGTCATATTTAAGATGACCCCATTCACAGACTGAAGTTTTTAAGTTTTGTACTTTAAAAAAAAAAAAAAAAAAAAGGGAAAGACAACATAATTAAATAAATTAAATAGAAGAACTAAGAGATAAATATTCTCCTCATTCTCATTTTACATAACCTCCTAGCTGTAAAGGGAAAGTTGTTCTGGAGCATCCAGCTACTGTCACTAACAGATCTATTACACACCTATAAAGTACTTCCATTAACCTTCAGATTTTTAAGGCATTCATTTTTAACTTACAGCTCAATTTATAAAAAGTTGATTATGGGACAACCCTGATATAATCTGTAAGTTTTATATTCAGGACACAGAACTCAAATCCCATCTTCCCATCTCCTGCTAAAATTTACTCTAAGAGTTAAAATCCTAGTGCATTACCTCAACTCTTGAGAATAATTCCATTAACACATCTGCACGTATACCTAAAACTGAAGGCTAAGCAGAAACAATGTTTTAAAATCATGAAATTGACATCATGCTGGAATCTAGAATGAAATTTAAAGATTGCCTTATTAATTTGTTGTTGCAGAGTGGGGTAGGAAGGAAACATTAAAGAAACCTGTCCAGTGGAGCATTCAGTCTCAGTACTCCCCCAGAATTTACTTGAGGATACCACAGAATCATAAATTCACCAACACTGAAAAAGGCCTCCAAGATCATCTAGTCCAACCATCCACATATCACTCATATCTCCCACTAAACCATGTTCCTCTGTACAACACCTCGTGTTTCTTGAACACCTCCAGCAACAGTCATTCAACCACTTCCCTGGGCAACCCTTCCCAGTGCCTGATCACTCTTTTGGAGAAGAACTTTTTCCGAATATCCAACCCAAACCTCCCCTGGTGCAACTCAAGGCCATTCCCTCTAGTCTTATTGCTAGTTATGTGGGAGAAAAGGTCAAATGTGACCTTTTCTCACACATAACACAAAGACGGTACAAATCAAACTGCGGTTCTGGTAGGGATAGCTCTGAAGTAGATAACCCCAGTGACCATGAGATCACTGAGACAGGGGAGGTTTAGGTAGATATTAGGAGGAAGTTTTTCACTCAGAGGGTGGTGACACAGTGGAACAGGTTGCCCAAGGAGGCTGTGGGTGCCCCATCCCTGGAGGCATTCAAGGCCAGGCTGGATGTGGCTCTGGGCAGTCTGGTCTGGTGGTTGGTGACCCTGCATATAGCAGGGGGTTGAAACAAGATGATCATTGTGGTTCTTTTCAACCCAGCCCATTCTATGATTCCATGAAAGCATTCATGATCTCTGTGACTGGTACCTATTCTTACATGTTCTTTGTTGAAGATAAATGTCAAAAAGTGATGTGATGATGATACAGATGTCTTTATTGAATGATTTAATGGAGTGGAGTTCAAACCCACTTCAGATCTACTCTCCCCTCAATGATTTCCCTAATTAGTAGCAAAGACAAACTCCTCGTCACTATCTATACTGGCCCTGTGATGTTTACATGCCATGGCTGTATGATTAAGAAGTGGAGAGAACCAACATCAATGTATAGGTTTTATAGATTAAAAAAGGTTATATAGATTATATTCTATAATCTTATATATATTATATTCTATAATATATATAACATTATATTCTATAATCTTATATATATTATATTCTATAATATATATAACCTATATCTATAGGTTACATAAATTATAGAATAAAAAGCAATCCATAGATTCACCTTTATAAGCCTGTAAAAATGAGATTTTCTCAGACTGTTGGAGAGGGAGCACAATACCAAAAGTCAGAATTTTTCTTTTTCTTTGTAGACTCGTAACAACAGGGAGTTTGAATCCATTCTGGAAATTTTAGCCTCTAGGCATTTAATATGAACATGGGTGTTTAAGATGAGCATACTTTTGAAAATTTGCCAATAACAGTTTTGCTTCAACATCTCCATATTCCATACTTTATAACAGTTAAGAAAAGCTTCGTAGTCATTGTTCTGAAATTGCTTTTTCCACTTCAAAGTAATTGACAGTCCATTTCTTTCTCTCTCGATGGTAAATCTCAGTATTTATAATATACAAACTCCTGTTGCAAACTCCAGTTGCATCTGAACACTGAAAAATTCTCAACTGATGTGACAACATTTCAAAGAATAAGCACTTCCAACACATCTCCAAAGGCAGCAGGCCTACATACCAAGAGCAGAGCTTGGTATAACATCTGAGAAATGCCATGCTATCTTCAAGTACATGAGTAAGTCTGCTTTAAGCGGTAAAGCCACATCAGTTTAACATATTGCAGAAATTACAGAAAATGAAAAACTTTGTTTAAAAAACTTCTCATTACATTTTTCTTTCAACCACAGTAATGATTTTTTATTTTTATTTAAAATAAAAAAAAAAAAGAGGATCTGGACTTACTTGAGAAGGGATTACAATTTAATGTTTAATGTCTATTTAATATCATAAATGGTTACAAAATGTGAACAGTAAAGCCAATCATCAATAGTGACTGCTTATCTTGGCAATAAACCAAACCTCTGCACTAGCCTTCTCTACCCTTATTAAAAACAAAAGAATTGCAACAGCTCTTATATTAATATTGTTGAGATTATAATCATCATGCCAACCCATACAGGAAAAAAAAAAAAAGCATAGATCAGATTTAGAGCATGAATTTCCAACAATGTGTAGATTCAACTAAACATTAAGAATAAAGTTGAATGAATACCCGAAAGAGAAACCACGGGACAGACCTCACCAACAAGAAAGGTAAATTGGATTCCCTGCTGTACTTCTTACTAAGTATCTACAATTCAAAAATGAGGTAATGAGGTGGCAACTCGAGTCACATAAGCAGAGCAGACTGCCTGCATGTGAAAGCCTAAGTAAGCACACACTTCAGTTTCTGAAAGCAATGCTGTATTTTGGAATGAACACTCAGACAGCACTATCTTCAACACACAAGTAAGTTTTCTAACACTTTCAACTAAACTTCCTCATCTGTCTTTATTAATATCTCATTATCAACACAATGAATTATACATTAGATTTTGCAGGGGGTAGGTTAACTGCTATTACAACCATTTTGGTTGACGAGTAAATGGCAATGCAAGAACTGAACGGGGGGAGCTCTATACTTCCACAATTTGGCTACTATCACACCATACTGGACTTACGTGGTACACCTGAACACTCTAGGCCTATTATCCTAATAAGAGCAATAAGAGCAGTAAGATACAACTGTTATCTGTAACAAAACTGGGATGGAAACTTTTACACTTTCTCAGTTCCCAAGAACTCTGTGATAGAGACAAAAAGTATACACAAGTGTTGACAAACGTTTGCTTATTTCCTTTAGGGTAGTGTATTTCACACCACTTTACTAGCCTTCCAGTATTTACCACTGAAAATGCTGCTTAATTATAAATGAAACAACATTTTAGTAGTAACATAACCAGTATCCACAGCAATTCTTAAGACGGCTTTGAATTGTGACTTCAGAAAGCTCACAAAACAAACATCACTCTGAAAAGCAGCATCTATCATTTGGTAGACAGGAAAAGAAAAATTTGAGTGACTTTGACAAACAGGAGTTTTGGCCTTTATTTCTAACACAGATTTCTTCTTGCATCGTATGTTACTTAATTTCCATAACATAACATAAGCAAGAAGCCACTGCTTCAAAGAAATCTGAATTGATACAGTGCACAAGAGAGGAACCACAAGAGACTCGGAATAGCGCAGAAGTCAGAGAAATTCCACATTATCTAACATTCAGTGTTACTGAATTACTGAAAAGCTAAACTAGATTATACTAGCTTCACAACCGTTACAAGTACCCTAGTACTGGTTGCCAATGATTCTTACTGCACTGTAGCCCAAAATACTGATAATTGCCATTTATCAATGAAGCAGGGGTGAAGAATCAACTTTGCTTTCAAGTCATTCCATTAGTGATTGATACGATATAAGAAAAACACCATCAGCAACAGCAGAAACTTTCAAGATGTTTTCAGTGAAGTGAATAGCATTTAGCTCTCACTAATCACGTTAGCATCATTAGTTATTATCTACTAAGGCTGGATCTGAAGTTCTGCTTCATGAGTTTCCCAAAGAAAAGGACATTTGAAGTCTAGAAAGAAGCAGAGCAGTGTTTTACCAATGCAGAATGACACGATACAAGCTGTCACATTTTACAGTCAGTAGGAAAAGCCGTATTAAATGGTCATTTGCAAGAAAAGTGTATTTTCTAAAGTGCTAGAAAGAAAACCATACTTCTTGCTCAACTTAGCTTACAAACCTCATCCAGAACAATGTATCCAGTTACAAAGAAAAACTAATAACAATTTAAACTCACACCTAAGCCCCAGAATTCTGTAAGGGCAAAAAGCACGCACGAGAATTATTTAAACTTTACAACGACACTCGATAGCACCGTACTGCAGTTGTTACGGTAAGCAAGAACAAGTGTCTGAGAAAGACAACGCAGCGAGTGACGGTCAACCAGCGCCGGGCAGCGAGGACGAGCAGCCCGCGCGGCGCCCAGCTCAGCTCAGCTCAGCCCAGCTGCGGACGCAGCCGCCCCGCTGCGCGCACGTGAGCGGGTGAAGCACCGGCACCTGCGCTGCTCCGGGTGCAGCGTCTCGGTGCGCTGCGCGTCTAAACGCTGCACTGTTCGTAACATCGCGTGATACCTGTTTTTGTTGTCCTCAGCCACAATTCAGTTTTTATTATTAATTACGAGACGAAGAGAATTGCAACAAAGCAATACCGTCGCTATTTTAAACTGAGGCGATTCTCATGCTGCACAGCTACAAAGAAAAACGGTCGTTACCTGTGTGAAGAGAACCTGTGATTAGCCTGAGGAGGTACTGGGCAAATCTCATGATTTCACGCTTACACCGCTTCCTACAGCCACTCATCTTAGGCAACAACGTATCCTCTGAGGAGAGCCAGGAGACTTCTGCCGATAGAGGGACCGGTTTCCGCCAGCAAACTTCTGAGGCACTTGTCAGCCTCCCCGCTCGCCGCCTCGCAGCCCCCGCCGCCGCCGGAGCGCCTCGCGCAGCGGCCGGGCCGGGCCGAGCCCCGCAGGGCTCCGGGTGCTCTGCGCTGCCCCGCGGGGCCGCCCTCGCCGCCGTCCGCGGCCGCTCGGTGGAGCCGCAGCCCCGGGGCGGCTGGGGCGGGGCCGGCTCCCTACCCGGGCACCGCGCACACACGCACGGAGTGGCCGCGTCCTCGGGGAATCGGCAGGCAGGTGGGGAGGAAGCGGCGGGAAAAAGCTACAATAATCCAATGTCACGCCGCGGATTGATGAGGAAACATCCCAGCGCTACAGCTATCGCGCTGCTCAAGGTCAGAGCGGAGGACCGCCTCGCCTCCACCTGCGGGCACGGAAGCAGGCGGCGAGCTGAGGGGGCTCGAGCGGCGTTAACCTGATGCCCGCCGCCAGGTGCGGGGTGCCCCGTGCGGAGGAGCAGAACCCCGTGCGGGTTCCCCGCTCCCAGCCCGCTGGCTGCGGGAATGCCTATGGGAAGCCACACGCGTTCTTCTGTAGTCCCTTATAAACCCATTGTTTTCTGCCTTGCGTGAGAGAAGTGCTTCCTATTAATAAACATGTTCTGCTGAAGGCTTTATCCATGGTCAGAGAATCTGAAAAGCACATTTCCCTCGGACTACCACACGAACACAGAGCAACTCCGGCTATCACATTAGCTGGTGATGCAATAGGCAATGGCTAATACAGTTAAAAGAAGACAAAGAACCCATTAGGGAGAAGCTGAACAGAAGAAAATCACTGTCTGATCTAATTTTAAAGACAGCACTGACCACGTAAACACTTCGGTGAATGCCTTTAAAAAATAATAGTGTAACACACACAAGTGCAATTCTCCATGCTATTTATTTTTTTTATTACACACTGAGCAAGGATAAATGCATTATGAAGTGAGTACATCAAAGCACTGTCAAACTTGCAGCTAGATGACATAATTTCTGTGTATGCTATCTATAATAAGCCTGCTTTCTTCTACTTGCAGTGAGGCTGCACCACTGACAGAGCCAGAATGAAACAGAGCTCTAAGTCCCCACACTGACCCAATGCATGACAACCTGAGAAAGAACAGGGCAACTTTTAGCACTGCATCAACTTTAAAAGGCATTAGAAGGAAAAAAAAGAAAAAAAAGAAGAAAAAAAAAAAAAAAGGAAGAAAAACTTTGATATGAAGAGTTTAACAGAGCACCTTCCATCCCAAGTAGCTAGTAGAAGTGAAGATAAATACTGAAAACAGAAGAAAGAACATCTCTACTTTAGCTGAGGACAAGAGGCAGTGTAAATGGTGCTCAGCCAGAGTTCTTGACCTGCTTAATCCTTTGACATCTTTAATTGCTATATATAAATTTCAACTGCAGTCTCACTTCAAAATGAAGAACTGAAATATCAGTTTTCTAAATACTTTAAATACACATTGTCAGCAAGTCCATGGGTTTTGTTCTTTGCTTTTCCCCCTCCCCTAAAACAAAGCTGCATCACTTCTGACTCATTTTGCTAAACCTTTCATATTTCAGTTGAGCAGTAACAGTAATTACCGCCTAAGAAAGGGTTCATGAAAGGTTTCTGACCAGTTTCATTAAGAGGATTTTAACTAACAGCGCAGTATTCTGATAAAGCAGGATCCACATCTAGCTCCCCTATTTCTCTGCTCAGCACAAATGGCCAACTAATCTTTGGACTGAAGCTGCTTATCCAAGTCAAAAAGCTGATGAGGGAAGAGTAGTCAAGAAAGTCACAATGGAAAAGTGTAATAAAGTGACTGCTGTTTTGTCAGTGAACACCTTCCAGTGCAGTAAAGAGGAAAAGTTGGAAAATATCAGCTCCTATGTATTGGTACCTTTTGAAAAATTTTATACGACTCATTATAGTCTTCAGAAATAGTCTTTTTGCACTGGAATAAGTACTTTTATTTTCATAGGCACAATTTCCCCTAATGGTTCACAATCTATAGGTCTGAACCAAAATCTAAAATATATATGTATAAAAAAAGAAGAGTCCTAATAACATCAGAAGGATCTGGATCAATCCCTAGAACTTCTAGTTTTGGAATCAAGTATTCAGAAAATAGGATTTAAAAGCTATTACTTAAATACAACAGAGAATGAATAAAATATACAAAGAATTTTTCCCCCATCCAGATTTTAGGAAAAGCAAAATGGAAGGACAAAGTACGTGTTCATTGTAAACTCTTGGATTTTCAAATTAATTAACCTAGGCTAATTGATCGGCATCCCAGATGCCACATGGCACAATGAAATCACCAGGGAGGAAATGTTTTTATTTATTTCTTTTAAAGGAGACAAAACTATAGCAGCAGTCCATTTTAAGTGCAAAATAGAAAAGTACCCCTGAACCCTGTATGAAGTGTAGTGTCTGGTATTGTACGATTCTTAATCAAAATCAAATACTTCTATGAAGATTTCTAAACAAAGCTAGAAGAATCACCACAAGAAAAACAGCAGTAAAACTTTGCTTCTATGAAGATCAGTTCTGTCCAACTTATAGATTCAACCTTCAGCATGTGTTGAAGCAATACATACAGAATACACAAACTGACCAGCTTCTCAGAGACTGCTTGCATTGTACATTCCATTTGCATATATTTCAACACTCATCCATCTTCAAAGCATTGAATTCCCTCCTGAACTGTCCGGCCTGTGCTATTTCCTAAAAAGATGGAGTCTAAAACTTGTAAAAATGACAACAAATCATTTAAGATGCCTAAACCTCAGAGAAGGTCAACCAGGAACACTGAAAACCTGCCTGGGGTTTTCATACTGTTGACAAAAACCTTGCTAGAATTTATGTTAGTAAGGTAAAGGCTGAATTCCGTAAGTGAACGTTTCTATCAGACCTCTTATTTCAAAGAACAGAGGTAATATTTACAGTTACATGGCAAGAAGTAACAGATGGGCAGGAACAAACAGATGGATGAGCTCAAGGTAACGGTGAGATGTTTTTGAGCAGCACAGCAAACAGCTGCCACATAGATGACCATCATCAGACCTCCTTTCTGTTGCTTCTCGCCTATCATAAATGCAAGAGTCCTCCTAAATCACAGTCCCTGATGTGTTTAATTGCTCTTCTCTGCTTTTACTTCTTGACTCAAAGTCAAGTATCTTACCAGTATCAGTATCTGACAGTATCTTATACCGAGATGGACTCAACAGTATCTTTTACCAGCATGTCTAAAGTTGGCTAACATCTAGAATAGCTGCAGCATCATCAGAAAAATCACCAGAAACTTCAGAATTCCACAGTATTTACCATTTGTATGAATGTGTCAGCCACCTCTTTAGACAAAGTAGTAAGAAAAAATTCTCCTGCTCCTTATTTGCCCAAATTTAGTCTTCAGTCTTAGACAGTAATGAAAACCAGAGATTGCTACATGGTAGAATGTGAGATGGGAAAAGAGAGATACAGGTAGATATTCCTTTCTCCCTCTGCTCAATACCAACATGGTAGGTGATAAAGCTAAATTCACTTGGTTTTAAATGGCTGCTGACTATCCTGAACATTATAGTAACAACAGATAAGAATCCTTCTGCTTCATCTACTTCATACTCAAATTGATGTCCACATGGAAAGTGGACTAGACCTCACTCTGTGTGAGGATAGTATCTACCTCAGACCCCAGGACATATGGCAATGGGACTTGCCAGCATTCCTAGTTAAGAGAGCAAATTTATTTTTTTACTACTTCATTTTCACTCTTCATAGGGAACAAATTTTTTTGTATCCTTTAATTACTTAACTTGCATGTAATGTTTCTTAATATGCAACATAAAAGAAAGACCTTTACTCTGGCCTACGCCACTGAAAATTAATGCACAATCTTCCTGCATTTGTCTATAGCTTTTAGCTTCTCCTCAAAGTTTGCTAAGAGTAACATCCTCAAACAGCTTTATTACCATGCTTAAAACAGTACTACAGAGGAATGACTGCTATTCCACACAGTTTGTATAATATCAACAAATCATCCACATGCTCCACACTAGCAGCTGATACCTGTAAACAAGAAATTACTTCCACCAGTGTTGTATTTCTTGATTTTATAGTTTCAAACTTAATTTTCTATTATGATTATGGAGCTCAATAAAACCCGGTGGCTTAGCCCGCATAAAACCTTTGACCAGTGTAACAAAAACCTTTCTTAACACATTAGTCATTTGCCTCTTTTATTTCTGACTTTCTTGTAAGCAGCTACCCGTTCAGAATGCCTGTTTCTTTTCACACTACTCTTCGTCCTTGAAGCTTACCCAAGAGCTCCTTTACACAGGACATTCTTAAGATGATGCTTCAGACAATCAACCGGGAGCTACAGCTGCTTCGACCTCCCACACAGTCCTCTCTTGCCTGATTAAATATTCATCACTCTGGCATGTTGCAGTGTCAAGCAGGAGCAGCTTCTCAGCCTGACCTTCCCTAGCCAGCCAGAAATTTCTGCTGAAGAATAAACAAGATTGGGACTTAACCTGCTGAAACATAAAACGGCATTATGTCGTTTTTGGGTTACACATTGAGTTCTGCTCATGCACTACAAAATTCTTACAGCAGAACCTAAAGTACTGTCTTTAATGTTCAATATAATTTGAATTTTGCCTGCAAAGAACTGCTTAATTCCCAGTTTCAACCCATATGGAAAAAAAAAAAAAAAATCTAGAGTTATTACAATTCCTTTTAAATGTGCTAGTTTTATTCATCTCTATTTAGTGGAAGATAACTGCAAAATCATAACAGATTAACTTCACTGTCATAGGAATTGTATCCTTTATAGGTTCCACAGTTATTTAAATACTTGTATGTTCACATGTAAAACATCTATATCCAAAACAAAATTGAAAATTTTGCTTTTTGACTCACATCAATCTGTTAAAAAAATAAGTCCATCAGGAATATCTTTTATTTATGCATACTAGGTATGCAGTGTTCCTAGGAAGACTGAAGAGTCATTGCAC